AATCCGGGCGATATTTTATAATTTAAACATGAATTCTTATAATTTTGTGGTGCTAGGCTAAATTTTTTTATTAGTAGGGCATTGATAAACCTTTATTATAAAGTTTTTACGATAATTTCAATATTTTTGACGTCCAATAAGTGTTTATTCTTGGATGATTGTTATTGAATTTAATGGCTTTAAATTATTTAGTTACTAATTGAATTGTTTGTGATTTCTATTGTTATCGGCAGAGACAATAAAATATAAAGCATGTTATAACAAACTATTGTAAACTTCGATAAGGGATATAGATATATCGCTGTATTTTGCATAATTTCTATAAATGTTTTAGCGTTTTTAAGCATGCTTTCATGTTCGCATTTTTCATAGAGATATATAAAAGTCACATGAAATGATATATTTAATTATTATCGAGAGGGACAATTAATCAACTTAGGAACATTGATCAATAAGATTTGTGCACATATTGTCTTGCTATAGAATTGTACTAAAAGGGATTAATAAGAGGAATTCATAATCTTAGTAATTATTCCACGCAAGTGTTACAAAAGCTTTTGTAAATTGCTCATTAGAATCATTATAATAGTTTGTTTAAATAGATAAATTAGTATAGAATTGATAATCAAAACTTGACTATTCGATTAGAGTTAATATTAATTGATTCTATACTAAGTACATAGTTCTCGTGGGAATGATATTTTATTCATTATTATATTACTTGTTCACGATATCGTATACTTGCAGGATTTCGTACAATCATTCAACTTATCCATTTTTTAACACCATCAATCATGTTAGGGCGAACTAAGGTTTTTGAGCTTAGACAACGACTTGGCTTGGTATTTGACCTTGTGGGATTTTCATTTCACTACATTACTATGCCATGTTATTTCATACAATTGACACTTGTGTCACACCTCTAAGATGTGTATTTATGTCTAATCTTCTCTTAGCATGTTTTGACTTTTTGTTGACCTATTTCTTCTAGTCTTTTACTGGTATGCTTATAGTCACGCTTTACAATAAGATTGGAAAGTGGGGGCGAACAGCTTGCTGGTTCAGCTCTCACTCATGAGAGTCACTCATGTTTTTTTATTCAAATTAAAAAATAAAAAAAGTAGCAAGTCGTGAGCGACAAAGCAAGTTGGCTCCGATGGTGGATCAAGCCGAGCTTAACTGTAGACAAGTCGAGTGGCTCGACTTGACCTGACCATTTTAACCCCCCTACTTCACACAGATTATGCATTCTTGAGTTGGATCAAGAATAAACTTGACCGACACCACATTTATTACTCCGTGAAACTTTTGTATTTTAAACATTGTTATATAACGATATTTTATGCTATAATACAACTTAAAACTAAGAAAATAATCATGTTCATGAACTCCAAGTGAACTCTTAGGAGGAATTTTTCTTGGACGAGGTCTCTAAATTTGGAAAAGGATGTTCCATATATGATGTCCAGCTTGTGAGGACCTCAAAATACGGCAGCTTTTGGTTGCACCCAAACTTGTGTGGCTTCTAAGCTCTCAAGTGCACCCTTTATCATCATTGAAGAATCATGTGACGAAAATTCATATGAAAAGAATATTCATGTCACACTCACATTATTCAACTTATTTGTGCATTATTTTTCTTACACGACAATTTGTGAAGATATAGGTTGACCTTAAAATTTTGCAAGACTAAGATATTAACATATTTTAGCCACTCTATCTCCACATGTAGCTAAATT